TTTTATTTAAATATTTTAGCATTTTAAAAAAGTAAATTAGAGCTAAAAAAGTGCAAAAACGCAGGCAAATTTGCCTGCGTTGGTCTACATATTAAGGGATAGACTTGAAAAATATCACAAATGACAAGGATGAAAATCACAAATTATTATCGAAACTCAATAGACAAAAACTTATAATTTTATTAATGATTAGCCAATTTTATTAGACAATTTATTATACATTTCATTATTATAAAATTTTATTAGATTAGATTTAAAAATTAAAAATTTTATTATAAAAATAAAAAGAAAAATAAAATAAAGAAACTACAAAAAAAGAAAGAAACACTAGCTTAACCCAAAAAAATTCTCGACTACTCTTTAACATACACCACAATACCAAAATTTCTGTTTTCAAATCTTCAATCTTCATCTCCAAATTAGCAACTCTAACTTGCAACCTATTTCACTCCAAATGCAACATACTCAACTGAGTTTCATGTTGGTAGTTCTGCTAAACTAACTTAATAAAATCATGTTTTTGCTGCTGTGCTTGCAAATTTGCCACTTGATTTTGCAAGCTTTAAATTATCACTTGACTATTTAATTGAAAGAACTGTTCTGCTACTTGGATTATTTGTTCAAGCTGTTCTTTGAAGCTAGCAATCTATGTCATGTTGTCTATATAGGCGAGAACTGCTTATCTTATACTTTTTTGTTTTTTGGTCCCTAGCAGCTCTTCAAATTGCTTTGGAGTTTCAACTTTGTATCCAAACTCTTTGTTTTTTTGTATTTGATCTAACAAGAGATCATAGAAGTTTCTCCACAGTAGGGAGAAAATAGCCTCTCCTTGATTAATACCCTCTTCTGCTGAAACTTCTTGTGTTAATCCAAATGCTATTATAATCTTTAGCTTCCTGTTTGTGAATAGGTTTAGTATAAATTTGTAGCATTTGTTTGAAACTTTAATTCTCTTTAAGGCTCTTTCTAGCATGCTTAGGTTTACTGAATCAAATACTTTTCTCATATCTTGAAATAGTAACTAGATTTCTCACTTGTTTTCTTCTGCTTTCTCAATGAGTATCTTTAATATATGAGCTGGCTCTTTAGTAGAGTTGTCAGGCAACTCTGCAAAGTTGGGACTACAGAAGATATCTTTTTCTTTAATAACTTTGCTTAGTCTCTTTGTTAATATTTTTGTCACATATTTTCTAAATACTTCAATTACTGTGATTGGTCTAACTCTATCTAGATTAAATTCCCAATCCTGCCTTTTTGGTATGAGGTAGATTTGTGTCGTTTTCTATTTAACTAGAATATTGCCAACTTGTAGACATAGTTCTGCAAAGTTTTTAAAGACTTGTTGAGATCTTGTATCTACTTGTTTTAATAGAAGATATAAGATTGTTGATATTTCTGGAGCTAAGTTAGCTTTACTTTCTCTTAATATTGCTTGCTACTCCTCTAATGTAATTGGTTACATTATTGGATCGAACCAGGAATCTTGAATTCTTTCTTTGGGTTGGTACTCATCAGACCAAAGTTTCTTGGTCTCTATATGGCTATTTTTTTTGCTTATGAATTGTTCTTGAAAATGGGCTTGTACTTCTTTCAAGACTTCTACAAGATTATTTAATAATGTTTCTTGGTCTTGATTTTGTAATAATACTCTATCCAAGACTACTTTGTGAAATAGCCATTCCAGAAGGCTGGTTAGCATTTTCTTTTGGTCTTTTACAATTTGTTCTGCTCTTCTTTGAATATATGTTTGTATTTCTTTTTTCTTAATTGCTACTTGCTATTAACTTGTCTTTGATTGCTTTCTACCATATAAGTGTATATGCCTGCTATACACCATCTTCTAATAGTTTGATGTCTTCGATGTTACTATCTGCTAATAAGTTTATTTGCTTGATTCTTCTATTCCAATCTGCAGTTTTTTCTTGTAACTTGATACTGTTTACTACTCTAGTCTTTTTAATTAACTTGCCTAGCAGGTAAGCTGCCTTTGTAAATCTGCTTTCTTTGGCTTTTCTATTTACTTTTTTTTCAAAATCTACTATTTTGTTTGGTAGATTGTATTAACTTGCTAGTAGAATTGTGCTCTCTAAAGACTCCCATAATTTGTCAAGATCTGCTTCTAATTTCTCTAGTATTAAAGGGTCTGAAGATAATATTTCTTGTTTAAGAACTTTTAGTCATTTGATGTTTAGCCTACCCCAAAGACTTGTTTGATAATTGTTCTAATTTTCTTCTGTAGCTAAATTAAGCTTCTACACTTTTTGCTTTATACTTAATATATTTTGGGTTAAGTAGTTACTTAAATGAGTTGACAAATACCATTTAATTTTTATAAACACTAAGTTATGATCACTCCTTGTGATCTCTAACATGCAATCAATATTAGCTTTTTGTGTTATTTTGACTATATCTTGGGATATCTATATTTGATTTATTCTTGTTGCCACTATATTATTGCTTCATGTAAACTTCTTTTTGTAGAGATTGAGCAATCAGTATATATCAACAAAATTGTATTCCTTAAGCCATCTATATAATGCTAGTTTTCTATAGCTCTCTGCTTGTGATGACTTGTCTAATACTGGATCTACTGTATAATTAAAGTTTCCTATTACAATTGTAAGATCTTTATCTTGTATTTTACTTATTTTGCCTCGAACTAACGTATCTATTTTTTTTATCATCTCCGTATCATTTGGGAGTATATAAACCAGAATTATTACTAACTTGTAAATCTTAAAATAAAAGTATACTATTAATATATATTCATTTAGCTTTTCTATTCTGCCAATATGCTTTTCTAAATCCTCTTAGACCAGGAGGCCAATACCAAAGCCTTTCTTTTTAGATTTTGAGCCAGTTGACCATATTTCTTTGAAATTACTATTGCTCTTTAGTACAAACCCTGCTTCATGCTCTTGCAGGTTTGTTTCTGTAACTCCAATTATATTGTACTCTTTTTCCTTTGCCTATTTTAACAAAAGTTCTATCCTATGATTATGCACCTTAAGCCCATTAATATTGTGTGTTGCTAGATAACATAGCAAGCTTTAATTCTGATTGGTCAATTACTAAATATATCATCACATATTACACCACATATATCATCTGACTTTAAACAAATTGGTAGCCATGAAAACGAATTGTCAAAAGATACAACATATAAATTTTAAAACTACACCTTTTATTCTACCTACAGTAAAAA